GGCTTAAAGATTCACACATACGTCTCTAACATTTCTTCTAAGAGGCTGGATAATTCTCTCATGGAACACAGGTTTGGCAGGTGACTCACAGCCATCAAGCAGGCTGAGTGCTAACTTGACTTCAAAGGCAAAGTCATTCACTCTGGGCCGAGCCACTGGCCATGTTTCAGTACTCTCCAAGAGCTTGAGAGAGGCCCAGATGGGAAGGAACTCCAGGCAGTGGCCTCTGGAGCCTTCTTGGGGGGTGGATCTGCTGTGTCTCAGTCACACCTTCAGCTGACTGAGCCCAGCCAGCATTCTGACTGCAGCTTCTAAAGGGGTTGGGCCCCAGACTGTAAGACAGTAGTTTTGCTTCCCCTAAGGGTCTTGTCCCACACCTGACCATCCGGCTGAAAGGGAGCCCTGAGGTCAGGGTCCAGCACTTGGTTAGCGACCCCTGAAGCAAGCTGAATCCAGCAGGCTGCAGGCAGGCTGGCTGCTACTCACCTTTCCGGGTCCTGCAGGCGGAGCAGCAGGTACACACTGTGGGAATCGATCGGGTGAGGGGCGCTGTCAGAGATAGCCCCCACCCAACAGGAACCAGGCCCCAGCAACCAGGGAGGCCCCAGGGGAGTGTACAAATCCCAGAAAGAGGGAGATTTTTATTGACACTACAGAGTGGAAAGGGATCATCTCTGATTCAGCTTCCTCTAGGGTCAGGCCCCGATTCCCGCAGCTCTGAGGTGGTGAGAGCTGTTTAAGTTTCTCCTGGGAATAACTATCCTTCCCCCAAACCTCTCATAGACCTTTTGATTCAGAGTCCTCCGGGAAACCTCCGTAGACTATAGTAGGTGCTCACTAAATCCATGCTGACCCAGTGACTCTGAAGCTATAAAAGTCTCAATGGACACTTTCTGGTGGCTGGTGGCAGCCATTCGAGGTGTTATCCCTCCCTCTCAGTTCAGATTGCAGAGAGGGCAATCAGTCCCTGCCTGCCCTAACCCTTCAAGCCAGAGGGCAGACACCAGGTAGGTCACTCAGCTCTGGAGTGTGGCCCAGCCTCACCCTGAGTGCTGAAGGTGGCAGCAAAGAATTCTGCTTCTCCATCTCCAGTGCTTGGATAGTGTGCTCTCCTATGCCTTGTGCACGGCCATTTGCATGCTAGGCATGTGGCAGGCAGGTGGAGGTCGGTTGGAGAGGAGGGCACACACCCAGCCTCTGTTTGCTAGAAGCTTGCAGGCAGAGTAAACACAGCAGTAGAGTTTCTGTGTCTTGTTCTCCTTTCTTTCTTTCCTTGGGATACAGAGAGCCAATTGCTCTCCTCCTTGGTCCTCCTCCGACCATCTTCTGTTTCCTGGACCCACGCCGTTGCTTTTATCCAGCACCTCACTAACTCTGCTTCCCCCAAGGAGCGTGAATTTCAACATCTACACACATCCCTTTGCTTAACTGTGCTCTTGCAAACTCTATATTCTTTTGTATAATATGTATATTGTGTGTATGTATGTGTGTGTACATGTGTGTGGGGTGAGCCCACCCCTGCTTGTGAGTGTAGAGGTGAGAGCTTGGTGTGGTTTCTTGTCTTGCTCCTCACTTTATTTTTTTGAGGCAGGGGCTCTCACTGAACTTGGGGCTCACTGGCTCATCTAGACTGGACAAAGTCTCTGGGTCCTTCTGCCAGTACCCTCCAGTGCTGGCATTACAGGCTCATGCTACAGCACCAAGCTTTTACACAGACTCTGTGGGTCCAAACTCAGTTTCTTACGCTTATAAAGTAAGCACTTTACCAGCTGAGCAACTCTCTACTCGCCACTATCACCTATCTGTATCTATCTCTAACTATCTACATACTTACCTATCTATCTATCTATCTATCTATCTACATATCTATCTATCTATCTATCATCTATCTATCTATCTATCTACATACATATCTATCTATCTATCTATCTATCTATCTAGCTACATACCTCTGTATCTATCTACATACCTACCTATCTATTGTTTGAGACAGGCCTCACCATGTAGCCCTAGCCTGGAACTCACTGGTAAATGGGGCTGGTCTTGACCTCACAGAGATTCTCCTGTCTATGCTTCCTGAGTGCTGGGATTTCATCACACCAGGCTATATTTTTCCTTTATATAAATGATTGCATAAGAATCCACTGTGGTTTGTGCATTTCTATAGGGCATTTAGCTTTTAAGAACTACTACATCCATTGATTGAGTCTGAGGCTTCCAGTTGCTTCGTGGCCACTGCCTGCACATACCTTTACCTGTTCCCTCTCCTGAGTTGTCTCAACTCCTACCACCTGTTTGAAGTCTGAAAATGATCTTTATTTTCTTCTCTCTCATTCTCCTCACAATCCTAGACACAAGACAACTAGGACACGATGGAACATTTCCTTCAGAGAAAGCTGAAGGGACGGGGACCTGCTTCCTGCACGAGGTCAAATACTCTGCTGTGACCTAGGCATCGTTCTGAGAAAAGTTCTGAGGCTGGTGCCACACAGAACCGAGGAGAGGAAGTGGGCTCACAGGCATGAGCAGGAACACATGTGGCAGCTGCCTCATGGTGTCGTGCCAGCTTCCCTGTATAGCATTTTCTGTATCCCGTGGGCTTAGTGTCACCTCGCCAGGATGCACTCCTGTGTTTGTGGACTTGGACTCGCAGCCAGTGGGGCCATTTTGGAAGGCTGTGGAATTTTTAGGAGGTGGAATTTTGCAGGAGGAAATGAGTCACAAGGGGCGGGCCTTACGTTTTGATAGACCCCACTTCCAGTTTTCCTGTATCTTGACTTCTGACCCAATGTGCCACAGCCTCACACTCCTGCTGCTGTGCCTTCCTGGCTGTGATGGTCTGTGCCCTCGCTATGAGTAGAAATAAACTCATGTCCCAGTCGATTGCTGCTTGTCAGTTATTTGGTCACAGCAATGAGAAAAACAGCATAGTGAGGCCCAGTTTGCACCCATGCTCCGGGGCTTCTTACTCCATTTTCCTCCCCTGGCATTGGATCCCATGCTGTGGGCAGGGTTGGGAAGGACAGAACAGCCTCAGCTCCAACATGGACATGGGTACTTCTGCCCCACTCCCAGGACCTGATCTACATCTCATCTTTCTGTCTGAAGTAACTTTTGATTTAGGCCCAGAGCAGCAGGGGAGAGTGTGACCTTCCCTGGCCTCCTCATTATGGGCCAGCACCTCCCTCTCTGAAGAGAGGTCTCAGGGTGGCAAAGGATCTCACTACCTCTACCAGCACCAAAACAAACCACCCTAAACCTTCTGTCTATTGCTGGGCTGGAAGCTGTTTCAGGCCCTGGAGGCATCCACATCACCTCTGAGAGCCCGCCAAGCTCCTCATTTCATTCTGAGCCCTGACCTGAAAAGTCTAACAAGAGAAGGTCTGGGCAGGAGGCCAAGATTCTGGTTCTGTGTGGCCTTGGCAGAGTACATGACCTCTCTGGGCCTGCTGTCTCTACTTGGTTCTTTCCTCTAAGACAAAAATAGACTCTTATAGAGAAAGGACGACAGGACTATCTGGGTTCACTTCCCAGCCAAAGCAGGACTCCCTGCCTGCCCTTTCAACTTTGGTGTGGGCTGTCCCAAAGTCAGGGCTCACAGAGAAGCCCAGAGGTCTCCTGAGCCCTTTTGGGATTATAAAGCGCTTTCTTGGATGAGATGGAGACATACTAGAGTTTATAACAATGGCTGCTTACTTCCTACTGGCACGAGGCATGGGCGGCCCTGAGCACCCTGACTTTGCTTATTCCAACTGAATCTTCATAGCCAACGCTCCTCCTCTCCAGTCCTGCCCTGCTTCTAGGGTGAAAACATCTCCCATTAAAAATAAATGAACTTCAAACCTAGGGATGGTGCCCGGTCCTGGTGGGAGGAAGCCGAGGGATACCAAGCAATGTTGATGGTACTGAGTGGGCCTCAGGATGTTAGCATGCCACACCAAGTGCAAGCCCTCAGAGTCAGGTGGGGTCTGTCTGGATCTGGGGCTCAGAGCCCAAGCGCCTTTAGCGGTGCCTCTTACAGTACTCAATAAGGGTCCAAGTGCCCTGGAGGTCCTGGTTTGCATGTTTAAGGGCAGGACAGACACTGGATACATAACTCATATTCCAAAACAGCCCAAGTCCTCCTAGTTCTTTTTAACAAGGAGGGCAAAGGTGGTGACTCGGCACTCCTCCTCCACACGTCCTACTGTCCACCATTTTCTATCAACAGCTCTGCTCTATTCCCGAGTAACTGTCATCTACTAAGACTCCATCTTGGAAACGGGTAGTGCCCGGTCCATATGCTGACCCCCAGAAGCTCCAAGTCCACACGGATAGATTAGATACTGGATTCATACCCTGACCTACACAGCTGGGTCTCACACAAACGTACTGAGACCTCTAGAGACAGGACCAAGATAACACACATTAAACAGGGTTAAGCCCCATCTGGGCAGTCTCATGCCAAGTGCTTAACCATGAGAGGTAGATTTCCAGTCACTGGAAGGACTTGGCCCCCCCAGGAACCTCAGGCCTGGTGTGGTCCTTGGTAGGTGCAGATGTGAGCATGCTCAGTGAGTAGGCGGTCAGAGATGAACTGCAGACAGTGAAGAGGGAGGAGAGGAAATACTCAGGAAGAAGGGAGGCCTATGGTGTCACCAGGCCTGGGGAGTGGGAGAAGGGGGTCATGAGACCTGAGTGTGGGGCTAGAGAGAATAGAAAGCACTCCCAAGGCCCAGACTTGCTCCTGCTCCAGACTTGACCCAGGTACTAGCACCCAACACCCCGATTCCTCAGACAATGATGGAGGAGGAATACATATCTGATGCTAATGACCTAACCCACCCAAGGCACAGTCCCCAGGCCAGCTTCCTGAGCCCTCATGTGCTGTGCTCCTCATCTGGCCTGGGACGATCTCTAACAAATGACTCTGTTGGTGACAGGTCTGTGAGGCAAGGGACACCTTGTGTGCCATCCAATACTGTGCCTCTTAATGACAAAAAGAACAGGGAGTGACCTACCTGAGCTGCTGGCACTCTCTGAAGCACTCCTGGACATCTTGGGCTGGCCATGTTTGCCACTCGACCGTCCAGTCCCTGGCGGAGGAGGGCCTGAGGGAGCAGGAGCACCATCACCCCTGATGGTGGTGAGGTCCTGCATGCTGAAGCTCCGGAGTCTCTCTGACAAGGCACCCTGTCCCTGGACACAACACAAGAGAGTACATGTCAGAGGCCTGACCACAGGCTTATGGACCATGGTAGGAACAGACGTGAGACGTGACAAAGGCTGAGAGACCCTGCTCTGTGAGTAGACAAGACAGAAACAAGTCCTGGTTTACTTCTGTTGAGAGTCCCAGGTATACTTGTTGACAGGTGACTTAGATTTCAGGGCCACCTCTGGGGCTCAGTTATCGCTCCTTCTCCCTTTCAGAGACCCCCAAAGGAAACCTGTAGGTAGTATGACTATCCTGTACGGCTATCCCACCCCCATTTTGTTGTCTGAGATAGGGTCTCATGTGTCCAAGCCTGGCCTCAAACTTTATCAATATTGGAATATAGCTGTTAGGAGATCCTGAACTGATCCTCTTGCCTCTCCTTCCCAAAGGTTAGGATTATGGATAAGGGGCACCACATCTGGTTTATATATCAAAGGGCTCAAACTCAGGATTTTATGTGATGTCAGGCAGGTACTCTGCCACCTCAGCGACATCCCCAGCCACTCTACAGAGATGGCTGGAGGCCTCAGCTTCCCACCAGTAGAAGTAAATATGTGGCCACGTTGTTCTCAGTTCTCGAAATCTGCTTACAAAATCCAAACCTAATATTCTGTGTACCCAGCCCTTCTTCCTAACGCTATAAAAGACACACGGTATTGTTTTAATGCATGACATCAGTAGTTTAAAAAATGTTCTGTGCAGTTGAGATGGTTAACAAAGCACACTTACTTATATTGGCACATGCAATCTCACTGGCACATAAATACCCAAAAGGTGATGAATCAGGAAGGAAGAAATGATACTAAAACAACAATAACAACAACAAAACCTCTGCTGTCGATGTAACCACTTTATATGCTGAAGGCGCTTTGGAGTGAATCTCAGTGTGAATGTTTTCTTTTGTTTAGGAAAGCAAGATCAATGTGTCATAGGGTTGGAAAACAAATCTTCCCTCCACTACTTGGTCCTGAGTGACAGGTCTGTGTGGATGGAATCGAGGTGAAGGCAGAGGGCTGGATGCTGCTTTAGTTGTGCAGGTGTGTCTCAGGGTAGGAGAGACTTGTTAAATCTTGTTGTTGTTTAGAATTGATTTTATCTTATTTTGTATAGTTTTATTTTTTAACTTATTATATGAGACTTTCATACATGCACTTAATGTGTTTTGAGCAAATCCATGGAAGCCCCACTCTTGCCAAGGAACTATTAGCAAGTGATGGCTGCAGGTGGGAGTGAGGGTTTGGGGGAGTCAGGAACTATTAGCAACTGACGGTTGCAGGCAGTAGTGGGGGGAGTCAGTTATTTTCTATAAGTGTGTGTGTGTGTGTGTGTGTGTGTGTGTGTGTGTGTGTGCGTGTGTGTGTGTGTTGGCTGATCCAGAAGAAGTGTCAGATCCCCTGCAGCTGGAGTTACAGGCAGCTGTGAGCTGCTGCACACGAGTGATGAGAACAAACTCAGGTCCTCTGGAAGAGCAACGAATACTCTTAACGACTGAGCCATCTCTCCAGCCAGTTTCCTACAGGAACAAGGTCCCTAGTAGGCTGTCCATGTTCTAGTAGATGGTCCTATACCCATGCACTAAGCAGACTGAGTGGGCTACAAACAAACAAACAAACAAACAGTACATGAAATTTGGAGAGACTTGTTTGGGGCAAGGGCACCTGAGAGCAGGATAGGAGGCTGAAGAGAGACTGGTGTTACTGAGAAGTGTTGGGATTTGGAGTAAGCAGCCGCCAGGCAATGAACTTGGGTGTGCTCTGAATACGGGGGAGCCAGTGGGAACCAGAGAATATGGGACACCAAGGTGACAATGCGTCTTATTTTCACAGTGAAGGGAAGAGTGGTGCCTAGTGGTGCAGGGACTGTGGATAACAAGGTAGGGCTGACTTGACAGCACCAGCAAATCAGCACTGACGGATCCGGCAGCTGCGGCAGGAAAATGAGCAGGAGCCGAACGCACTGGGCAGAGGCTTGCACCATCCAGAGCGGGGCTGGAGCAAGCCTTTTCACTTTATTCAATAATAGAAAAATGATCCACCAGGATGGACAAAGCACAGCCACTTGCTCAGATAAAAAGTCTGAGTGTGACAGGGAACAAAAGCAGGCAAGGGCATAAAAATAATCGAACAGGTTGTATCCATGTATTTAGGAATGTCTATACACACAGTAATGATAATTAAAAAGAGGCCATACATTTAAAAGAGTGGATATGGATACATGGAAGAGGTTGGAAGGAGAACAGGAAAGGAGGGAGATATCTAGTTACATCATAACCTCAAAAAATTGTAACAATGATAAGAACAACAAAATCATAAACAACCACAACAAAAGGAGTGAGCTGGGGAGGGGCAAGCACAAAGGGGCTAGCATAAGGTTACACGCTACACTGAAAAGCGGATCTGGCTGATTCTTAACCTACCAAAGATACAAAAACCATGTCTCAAGGAAACAAACGACAATGTCACGAAGGGCATGGTGGCTCACATCTGGAATCCCAGCATTTGAGAGTTGAGGCAGGAAAACTGTCACAAGTCTGAGGCTATCCCCAGTAGCATAATTCTAGGCCAACCTGGGCTACACAGTGAACTTTATTCCCCCAAAGCCAACAACAAACATAAATCACAAACAGGAAATGATTTAAATAACCAAATATATACAGTTAGAACCATTAGTCTGTAAAAATGTAAAGTATTCCATCCTTAGGCTAGCCACCGTGTAGAGCGAGCCAGAGTCAGGTGCTTCAGAAGGCCAGCTAAGGGCCTGGAGAGGTGGCTCGGTGGCTAAGAGGAGCTGAGTTCAGTTCCCAGCACTCATGTCAGGAGCCTCACAATTGCCTGTAACCCCACCTCCAGGAGGATCCGACACTTCTGGCCTCCAACACTGCCACACAAATGTGCACCCCACCCCGCAAACAAAAACATGTGCACACATACACACATAATTAAGCAAAATAAATCTTTAAAAACCGAAGTTTTTATTTTATTTTTGAAGCCAACTGAATGATGACTGTTGCTGCTGCCTGCCACATCTAAGTTGGCCATTGAAATGAGTGAAAGAACAGACAGTGTGTGGCCAAAGGGACCGGGTGAGGTTCATGACCCCAAGTCCAGATAACGGCCAGGGACCAACTCTATCAGCATCTTCCAGATCTTGTAAATGCTCTGCAACAGACCTGAGGGAAAACAGCAGTCGGCAGGATCTGCCCATTTAGCAAATGGCTCACTTTCACTCAGAGAAGCCCAGCCAGGGTAGCTCCAATATCACCAGCATCAGGAAGATTTCAAGTGTCAAGGGTTAGGAAAGAGGAGATAAAGATGGCTCAGTGCCAAGCTAGTCCTGTGCTGGAGGGAACCGCAGAAGCATGGGAACACGAGCCCTGGAAACAAATTGGAACAGCTGGAGACGTCTGAGACCAACAGGCCTCTCATTTGAAAACCCCTTAGCCCAGGCTCAGGCTCAATTCAACCTCATCCTTATTTACCTTCCTGGAGCCCTACTTGAGCTGTGCTTGGAAGAACCCCCATCTTGTTATTTGGGAGCTGTCATCTTCTGGAACATCTTCTGGCTGCCACATTGGGTTCCTTACTTTGGGAAAATAATTCTGGCTTTGTATTTTGGAAAAAGCATAATAGCCTGGCAGTGGCGGCACATGCCTTCAGTTCCAGCACTTGAGAGGCAGAAGCAGGTGGATCTCTGAGTTCGAGGCCAACCTCAAACTCCACTGTGACCACAGTGGAAGACACTGAGAGCCAACCATTCAAATATCTTTCTAACCTCCCCGCCTCCCTCCCTCTCTCTCCAGGATCCCACTATACAGCCCTGGCTGGCCTGGAACTTACTATGTAGACCAGTCTGGACTTGAACTCACAAAGGTCTATTTGTGTCTGTTTCCTGAGTGCTGGTATTAATACCTGGCTATTCTTTTTCTTTTCAATATGTACACATATGGATTGCAGGCAGGTGTACTGGGACATGTGTATATTTGTGTGTGTGTGTGTGTGTGTGTGTAGGTCAGAATACCTTAGCCTGTGCTTCTGTTCTTATCTATCTATCTATCTATCTATCTATCTATCTATCTATCTATCTATCTATCCATCCATTTATCTATCTACCTCTACAGAGCTCTGAGTGTCCTAGAAACTCTAAACTCAATATGTAGACTAGGTTGACCTTGAACAACTAGGTTGGCAGCAATCCACTTGCCTCTGCCTCCCAAGTGCTGGGATCAAAGGGGTGCACCACCATGCCAGATTCTGTGCTCCTTTTAGTTTTGTGCACAAAGTAGGTTTTTTTTTTAAATCTCAGTCTAGTAGTGTTTTAAGTAAGAAGTGGTGAACATTCTAAGTGAAAGGCACTGTGTCCCCATTTCATTAGCAATGTCTCCTTTCTTAGTGGCACTTGAGATAATGACCTCCAGACAATGAACACTCTCTGAGACATGCTCTCAATGGCGTCTGTCCTGTCCCCTGTTCTCCATGCAACTGTACTTAACACGGGGCATTGTCTGCTGGTCTTCCCCTCTGTATAGCTTCCTTTCCTATTGCAGGTTTGCATTTATCCACCTTTCTACTTGACACACAGTAAGTGTCAAGGCAGAAAGAAAAAGCATATGGACATCCATCGTGTTGCTGTCGGAGTGAAGTGGCTACAAAGAGGCTACCCCACTTCACTCCCATACATCAGCCAGGGGCCCAGACCTGAGGGGGGTTCTATTGAACATGACTTGGGATGTGTTCACAAGTTGGGGCATAGTGACAGGTATCACACCCGTGAGGCCAAGTATTCCAGAGGAGAGCCCCTCATGGAGAACTTGGGTGTGTAAATATGTAAACTAACTGGGAAGAGGGGTTTTTTGTTTTGTGTTTTTTTGAGGTGGGGTTTTATTGTATACCTCAGACTGACCTAGAAAACACTATGTAGACCAGGCTAGCCTTGAACTCAAAAGTCTGCCAGCCAATGCTTCTCAAGTGCTGGGATTAAAGGCATA